ACTCACAAATTCAAATCAGGAAATTCCAAAGGCATTAGAAAGCTGAGACATAAGGCTAAAACTTTGATGTTTTGGCCAAGACCTGAATCCATTCAGAACAGAACGAAAGTTGAGTGTCAAAGTACCCGTCAGAACTGTCCAGATACAAGGCAGTTCTGACGATCGATCTTGTTTTGGTCATAACAGGAGCTACGGAACTCGGATTTCGACGTACTTTATACCGTTTCGAAGCCAAAACCAAGATCTACATTTCTTATGAAAGAGTTGACACCCAGATAGTACGGGATCAAAACGGAAAAACGCACGATCAGAGGCTGATTTCAAAACGCAGCACAACTAATGTCTAAAACAGGCCTGAGTGTTTTGTCTATAACTCAGGATACACTAATCCGTTTGACCTGAAATTTTACAGGCATAATCAGGACTTAAGGGGCTACAATGTTCATGAAGATCACTTAGTCCAATTTCCAGTGTAACCCAGGCAATTTCTCACTTTACAGAACCAGAATCCAACCAATCGGCTAATCAACCGTACTACATTAAAATGGTCATATCTCAGGCTAGCAAAGTCCGTTTAAGGTGTTCTTTGATGCGTTTAAAAGCTAAGACAGAGTACTAAAACTTTCATGTTTTGGCAAATGACTAAATCAACACAGATCATAGTGAACAAATGCAGCCAACTAGATGAACTGTCTAAAACGGATCACTGGAAATATCCTAGGGCAGCGAGGGTATTTTGGTCTTTTCACAGGATACGTTGCTCCGATTGAGCTGAAATTTTGTAGGCAACTATAAAATATCATTCTCTACAACTTTCATGTTTTAACCTAAGGCCAAATCGGCCTCTAACTATGTGCTACAGAACCGGACAGAATGAAGAACAATGAAACCCTAATTTCCCATTTTTCTTCCAAAACAGAAATTTCTTGCAATTATCCACTTTTCCCACCTCCTAGATCCCTTACATACCATTTCCAATCATCATACATAACCACACAATCATATTCATTTTAAAACAGAAAAATCCCCAATAATTACAAAATTTCATCAATTCAACCAAAAATCACAATATAATCCATAAAATTGCATCTTATACCATCACTAAGCATAAATTAAGCATCATTAGAGGGAGGAGAGTGGTTCTTCACAACTCACCTTAGAAACAAGAGAGAGAGAGCAACAAGTCTTCTTAGCTTTCCAAACAACTCCCACCAAACCCACACAAACACTCACTTAAGGTTTTCTATGGAGTAATTTGAAGATTAACCTGTTAGAATGAAAGATTGAACAAGATTAGAGGCTAGAAAATTGAGAGATTTTCCTTTCTTTTTCCTTGAGAAGAGCCGGCCAAGAAGAGTTTGAAATGAAGATGTTTTTAGTAATTTTTTGGTTTATTTGGTCAATTGGTAAGACCATCAATAGTGGTCATAAAGTTGATCCACTCAAATGGTGACACTTGTCACCTCATTAAATGCTTGCCTAACTTTTGTCTCTCTCACACCTATCCACTTAGTACCTCTAAATATCTCATAACACCCGGTAAATTAAACCCAGTATCCAAAACTTAACTTAACTGGCCGAATTTTTCCGAACTTACCGCACTAGTGGATCCCACGTCCGATATACGTTCTTAATTTCTCAAAAACTAACCGATACTAGAAAAATCATCAAAAACCTATATTTACTCATAAAAATTATCTGGGGAAATTTTCTAATAAAGAAAATGTAGAAAAGGTGGGCGATAAATAAAACTCCACTTAAGCTTTCTAATAAATTGTAACAATAGAGGTTTGCTAATCTAGAGTTTGCTAACCATTTCAAACTTGTTAAACCTTTGTAAACTAAAACGAATCCTATATTTACTTATACCAAAACACACACTAGAATACCGAATATAAATTATAGCTCGAACCTACGAATAATAATACCTAAACTAGGGTTTACTCATAAGCAAAGTTAGGGTTTTCAATTTTAACCGAGATTAGGGTTTTCTTCTTAGCCCTAACCCTAATTTCACCACACCGAATAATGAATGACCCTAATATCATCTTACGAACTGACTGGCGCCTTACAATTAGCATATGTCTTAGTTTTGTAGCTTTTCTGCTGCAGACAGGAGGTTCTATTTTTAGATAATGAGATTGCCTTCAATGAGGCTATAGTAGAGGAAAGAGAACAGGGTATACAAGAAATACAGCAACAAATTGGTGAAGTGAATGAGATCTTTAAAGATCTTGCGGTGCTGGTTCACGAACAGGGAACTATGATTGGTAAATTCATGTAGATTATTGATGGTCATATTCTGATCTTTTTGGTGAAATATTAGCTAATTGTTGGGCATTATTTGCAGACGATATTGGTTCCAACATTGAGAACGCTCATGCTGCAACTGCACAGGGCAAATCACAACTTGCCAAGGCGGCAAAAACCCAAAAATCGAACACATCTCTGGTAATATTATATAAGCTTTGTACCTTTTTTCCATTCCGTGTTGACTCTAAAAAGTTATGTAAACTACCAACTACATCTGTTTATTTTACAGTAGACACATGGTTCATCCATATTAAAGGGAATGGCTGGGTTTTCAAGTTGAATTTCTTTTGCCTTTGTTATCTACACAAATGAAAGTTCAAAAATAATTCTTCCCAGATTTAGTTTTATTATGTCTGCGCTTGGTGTGCTCCAATGAGAATGATTTCCATCAACTTCATTTTTCATAAAAAAGATCACTGTATTAAGGCCATTGATACCACTTCTTGCTTCTTTTCAATATATTTTGTGTTACATTTTTTACTTTAATCTTATTCCTCTTTTGTTCTACAAATTGCAGACATGCTTGCTGCTGGTGATTTTTGGTATTGTGCTCCTAATTGTGATCATAGTCCTTGCTGCATAGTAGGAAAAAGTGTTGAGCACTATTGCATACAGAACTGAGGGCTGTATGACGATGGAAATGATCTTGTCGAACGTGTCATCAAAGTTGTTCTGAGAGGCATTTTGGCCGATTGGTGATGGTGCTGAAATCAGGTTACTGACAAGATTAGTGGCGAGGATTTCAATACTAAGCTTTTAGTTCTTTGGTGGTGGTTGGTGCTGTAAATTGTAAATTGGTGTTTGGGTTTGTAGTTTTTCTGTTCGGTCTTGTAATAAAGCTTTTATCAAATATAAAACTGATTTTTTGATTAGGTGATTATAGGTCTAAATTGTGTGCAAGTTTGTGTTGGATGGGCACCTTGCTTGGAAGCTATTCTTTGGGTTAATGGGCTTTCCTAAGTGAGTGTCGTTTTCCACTTATTGGGTCATAGACGGGACGGCTGTAACTTGAGGGAGAAGATCCCACAACTAAAAGCCCAGGGCACGCTTCTCCTTCGCCAGTGAATAGGGCGGCATGTCGGGGTGAAGGGGTCGGCTCCATAGTGGTAGAACTGGTGCTTGAGCTCTTTTTTCACTTATAACAAAGGACTTCCTCATGAACTCTTTAAGCTCGTTTCTTAGGCCTCCCAAGCCTAAGTTCACTTAAAAAATAATGAGAGGAAGTTAGGAGTTAGAATAAGAGGAGAAAAAATTATTGATGATTGCATACCAGTGCGTTAAAAACTCCACTCCTAAAGAACTCCTATTAGCTCATTTGTGCTCCTTACTCAAGGATTACTCACTAAAGAAAAAGGAAGAGCTACAGCGAGTTCTAACATTAGGAGATTCTTTGAGAGTTGAATAGGTGCGCCGGTTATAGCTAAGCAAGCTTAGCTTGTACCTTCCTAACGGAACAAAGCGGATCGCTGCAATTGGAAGGGTTCCCAAACCTTCCTACTGCTTAACCACGTCTAGTGGTGTGTTTTTTTTTGTTTTTTTGACGTATATAAAATGGATATTTGGATAATGTTTGGCTAACATTTCATTTTTCTTTTTGCTTTATCTTGAACACTGCTTCGGAGTTGACAGTCCGTGGATGCTAATTTGTATATGTTTGTGGCTAAACACTTTAGGCTATCACTGGAGTACATAGAACAAGTTTCCAAATTTGTAGTATTGGCAACCTCCAATCTCTTTGCAGTTGCCGGTTATAAAAAATTCAATTTGCTACTCTTAAAGTCATTATTGCACCTGGTTAGGGGCAAAGTTGATATTTACGTGGCGGAAAACGGCATTGATGACGGGCTTATACCGCATAGATAGTCAACTTCTGCTTTTGCTGTTAATCTGAAATTGGTTTCCTTATTTTGTGGCAGGCAATATACGTAAGCTGAGTGAAATCATATACTTGGTAACTGGTTAATGATTTGAGTATATGTATGGATTCAGTCCGTCCTGTAATCTCTTCAGAAACTCTGAACTTCCTTGGATAGCAAATGCTGATACCATTTCTTCAATTAGAACTTGAAATAGGTCTATGCTTGAGCCCTGCTTGGAAAAGTACGACCTTAATTCAAAACAAGATCTAAAATAAATGCCCAGTATTAGCTAGTAGATTGTGTTAGACCATCATAAAATGGAAAATGTCATCACACTTCTCATCAATACTAGTATCCGAAACTAATATCAGCACAATTAGCATGTCTCCACCCAAGGAAAACTGTCTTGCAAATGCTCAAACAGCATCTCCTAAATGATTATATTCCTGGACCATTAGCATCTGGACGATCAGGCTAGGATATAAGCTTAGTGAATAATGACCCTCCGACCTCTGTCCTAAACTAATACTGTACTAAATTCTAATGGTCCAGATGGACTTAATATAGGCTTTGTTCGTTGAGCCTTGGTCCCTCCAGCAGAGAGCTTTCATTACATGGGAACAGGAAGTCATCTCTATGAGCAAAAATAATCTCTCCCTCCAGTGGTAAGTACAGTTCTCAACAAGCATATTGAGTGCAGAATTAGACATGTAGCATACCACTCTACTCCTCCAGCGTACTAGTACACGATCAGCGCTCAACTTCAGGCTTAGTACAATTCACCAATACCAAATTATAACGTCTTATTGTCCAAATTCTGGACTAATATTTGCATGAATTGTCCAAATTCAAGATTATAACTAGAGATAAGTGATTCAGATTTAATATTCTCTCTACAAGAATGTGTTGTAACATTTTGCAGAAATCAATTTACACTGCTTGAAAATATGATGCAAAACCAAATATACTGTAATAAGCATCAGCTTGTTTTACCACCCTTAGACTGCACAATAGCCAGCAAAGATCGAACTATCAAAAGGATGTAATGCTGCAATATTTGCATCACAGATTGCTTAGGTTTCTTCATATTGGCAATTAGCCACTGATAATCAGCCATTGTGTCTTCTGGTAACGGCTCCAAGAATTCACACCTTGCCAAAATATCAGGTGGAGGCATGCAAGCAATGAGGTTTGTTTCGAGCTTTGGCTGCCCTTTATGAAGGTTTCCAGACCCTTGAACAGGATCTTGAAAGACAATAGGCAATGCGCCTGGGATAGCCTCTTCTTTAAATGATAATGCCCTTGCAGATTGCAAACAGAATTCAATCCATTGAGACACCAAAGGAGATGGTCCTCTAACTCGTCCTCCAACATTACCTGTTTTAACTCTGGAAGTGGCAGGTATCGCCTGCAGCAAGAATATAAGTTTCTTCTTGAGGATTGCAAATCATTCTTCAGCATATGACTTACAGCTGATAAACACATCCTAGAACGTGGAAATAACAGTATCTTGTTTTTTGCATAACTTTTGCCACTTGATTTGTAATATGACATGCATGATGATCAGAGATTCTACAATTTCTCTTACAAACTGGGATTCTACAACTATATGCTTCCCTAAACCATTTAGGAGAGTCATTAATTCAAACAGGCAAGACTAGCCATAAATGAACTACAGCAGCAGCACTACTACGAGAGCCAGAAACTAATTGTAAGACTGCTGAAAATCTCAAAGTGTTCAAAATATGCAACTACTTCCCATTTTGAAACAGATTGAATTTCCCCAAACAGTATTCTAGTCAAGAAATTATCGCTTAACCCACCACTTGATTGCTACAGTAACTGCTCCCCATTAGTAATATTCTCCAGATAAATCGGTTAATGCTTCTCGACATAAATCTGGTTAAAATTTAACCAGATTTTCATGGACCAACTCCAGTTCAATATCAAGCAATTAATACAAGTACAGAAGCATCATTAGTTAAGTTTTAGCTTATGAACTCTGTAGAAGATATTATCTCTCATGATTATGGGAGATATTATCTCCCATAATTATGGGATTTTATTGCCCATGATCAATCAAGTTTGAATAATCAAGTTTGAATAGAAATAGGATATGAGTTGATTATGTAATCCCTAAAATCATGGTTCTATTACCTTAAGTTGTGACAGAACTATGATAGGGTTGTCCTATAAATGCCTACCTTGTAAGCATATTATGTGTGTGGGAAAATAAAGAAAAGCAGAGTTTCTTGTTTATTTCCTTTTCTTTTTTTAAAAAAAACTTTCTTGGTATCAGAGCTCCGGCTCTGTACCAATTCCTGCCATGAACTACCGAGTAGCCATGACTGCGATCTACTGCTCACACAAGAGAAGACTCATCCTCGTCTTCATAGTTATCCAAACTACAGATTACTCTGCTTCAAATTCTCCTTCCCTACAAATAACCGTTCATAAATTAAATGGTTCCAATTATCTGGAATGGGCTCAATCCGTAAAACTGGCTATTGATGGCAGAGGTAAACTCGGCCATCTTACTGGAGAAATTCAACAACCAGCTGCTGAAGATCCCAATTTAGTTATCGCTTGGTTGATAAAACTATGGAACCAGCGATAGGAAAGCCACACTTATTTCTGCCCACAGCCAAAGATGTGTGGGACGCTGTCCGGGATATGTATTCCGATATAGAGAATTCGTCTCAAATTTTCAATCTCAAGACGAAATTGTGGAAATCAAGACAAGAAGATAGAGATGTCACAACCTATTACAATCAGATGGTAACTTTATGGCAGGAATTGGATCTTTGTTATGAAGATAAATGGGACTGCCGACAGTGTTCGATACAAGAAACGGGAGGAGAACGACAGAGTCTATGTCTTCCTGGCCGGACTAAATCAAGAACTTGATGAGGTGCGAGGTCGTATTTTGGGCAGGAAGCCTCTTCCCTCCATTCGAACGTATTTTTGAGGTCAGAAGAGAAGAATCAAGGCGTAAAGTGATGCTAAAGTCCAAGGCAGAGTGTGAAGTTGAGACTTCAGCATTGGTTTCTAAGGGGACAGATTTGGACGGAGATAAACGAAGGAAGCCTTGGTGTGAACACTGTAAAAAGCCGTGGCACACAAAGGACACGTGCTGGAAATTACATGGGAAACCATCGAATTTCAAGAAGAAAAATGGAGGTGATAACAAGGTGTTGCAGACTGTGAATGAGGATTCTCAAAAGCAACAAACTGACTCTGAGACACCGGCCTTCACAAAGGAACAATTAAGCCAACTGTACAAACTCTTTAAGTCTCCACAATTTTCAGTCACTGAGCCAAAAAGCTTCACTCCTTTCTGTTCTTTTGCTAAAAATGGTAATCTTTTACTGTTGCTCTTTCATGTAAAACATCAAATGCATCTTGTCCACGGATTGTATGGGTTATTGATTCTGGGGCCACTGACCATATGACCAGTTCGTCACAATTATTTTCTACCTACAGTCCATGTGCAGGCAATAAAAAGTCAAGGTTGCTGACGGATCATTATCCGTCATAGCTGGCATAGGTTCCGTTGTCATCTCTCCTACTCTTAACACTTTATAGAGTTCTTCATGTTCCAAATTTATCATGCAATTTGCTGTCCATAAGTAAATTAACTAGGGATCTCAAGTGTTCGGATTATTTTTTCCCCTCTTTTTGTGAGTTTCAGGAACTGACCACGGGAGGATGATTGGATGTGCTAGAGAAAATGGGGGACTTTACTTCCTTGAAGATGGATCAAATATGACAACACCAATCAAAACACATGTTACGGGTCTGTCTCTATTACTAGTAATAAAGAAATTATGTTATGGCACTTTAGACTAGGACATCCTAATTTTTATTACATGAAATATTTATTGCCAGATTTGTTTAAGAATAAAATTCATCTTCCTTTCAATGTGAAATCTGCGAATTGGCTAAACATCATCGGTCTACATTTTCTATACAGCCTTATCAACCCTCAAAACCGTTTTTTCTATTACATACTGATGTTTGGGTCCCTCTAGAATTTCAACTCCATCTGGAAAAAAATGGTTTGTTACATTCATCGATGATCACACAAGAGTTTGTTGGGTGTATTTGTTAAGAGAGAAATCAGAGGTTGCAAGTGTGTTTCAAAATTTCTACAGCATGGTTTTGACCCAATTTCAAGAAAAAATCAAAATTGTTCGTAGTGACAATGGAAAAGAATATTTCAATAAAATTTTGGGAATTTTTTCTTGAAAAAGGGATTGTGCATCAAAGCTCCTGCAATGATACCCCACAACAGAATGGGGTAGCTAAAGAAAAAATAAACATCTTTTGGAAGTGGCGAGGGCATTACTTTTTTCAAGAAATGTTCCTAAATATCTATGGGGCGAAACAATTTTAACTGCTACATATCTCATAAACAGAATGCCCTCAAGAACCTTGAATTTCCAAACTCCTCTGAATTTTTTCAAAACACTTTATTCCATTTCTCGATTAACATATGAAGTCTCATTAAAGGTGTTTGGGTGCATAGCCTTTGTTCACAATCATGAACAAGGTCGAAGTAAGTTAGACCCTCGAGCAAAAAAATGCATTTTTGTTGGATATGCACCCACGCAAAAGGGGTATAAATGCTTTGATCCCATTTCGAAAAAAATATTTGTAACCATGGATGTAACATTTTTTGAAGATAAACCTTTTTTGGAGATCCTCTTCAGGGGGGACTCGGCATGTAGAAGATGATGATGTTTTTCATATTGAAAATCAAATTCCTGATCAAAATTTTGTTGATAGGAGAATCGATTTTTCGATTTTTTAGAAGAATCTACAGCACAATTTCCTCAACAAGAATCTTTTCAAGATAATAATCCTGAAAAATCAAATGACACTTTCAATTTGCCCGTCAAAAGGATTTTGAAAAACTTGAAAAAATTGATCAGGGATTAGAAGAGGATCTCGTCTTTAGTGCCAATAACAGAGTCGAATTCTCTTAGTGAAAGAGATGGGAATGTAACTGAAAAAAACCTGAAAACCTATGTCAGGAAAAATCATCGAGGAAAAGATAAAGCTCCCCCTTCTCTTCACAACAAGGAATCCGAACCTAGGGCAGAATTTGATGTATTTGAGTCCTCAAGATAAAGTTTCCTCTGATTCAAAGATTGCTGATTTGGATCTTCCTATTGCACTTCGAAAGGGAGTGCGTTCTTGTATCAAACACTAACTAACTATGTCTCTTATGAAAAGTTATCCCCTACTTTCTTGACATTTACTTCACAACTTTCTTCTGTGAAAATTCCAAAGAATGTACAGGAAGCATTACAAGTTCCAGAGTGGAGAAAGGCTATTGAAAAGAGATGTATGCTCTTGAGAAGAATCAAACATGGGAAGTAACAAACCTGCCACAAGGGAAAAAGACGGTAGGATGTAAATGGGCCTTTACCATCAAGTATAATTGATGGGACATTGGAACGGTACAAAGCTCGATTGGTGGCTAAAGGGTTTACTCAAACCTACGGGATCGATTATCTTGAAACTTTTGCTCCAGTGGCAAAATTAAACACTATTAGGGTGCTTCTCTCAATAGCAGTAAACCTTGATTGGCCACTCCAACAACTTGATGTCAAGAATGCATTTTAAATGGAGATCTGGAGGAAGAGGTGTACATGGATTCTCCCCCTGGATTTGAAGGGAAGTTTCAGTCTAGAGTTTGCAAGCTAAAAAAATCGTTATATGGTCTCAAACAATCTCCTAGGCCTGGTTTGACAAATTTACTAGGTCGGTAAAAGATCAAGGCTATACCCAAGCTCAGAGTGATCACACCATGTTTGTTAAACACTCCAAGGACGGGAAGATAGCAGTACTCATTGTGTACGTGGATGATATCATTCTCACAGGAGATGACTTAATTGAGATGGAACGGTTGAAGAAAAGTCTTGCTTCTAGCTTTGAAATCAAAGATTTGGGAACACTACGATATTTCTTAGGGATGGAGGTAGCTCGGTCCAAGAAGGGCATAGTTGTGTCCCAACGCAAGTATGTTTTGGATCTTTTAAAGGAACAGGGATGAATGGATGTCGACCTGCAGACACTCCTATGGATCCGAATCACAAGTTAGCAGATACAAAAGATGGAACACCAGTTGATACTGCTCGATACCAAAAGTTAGTAGGCAAGCTAATTTACTTGGCTCACACTCGTCCTGATATAGCCTTTTCAGTGAGTGTTGTGAGCCAGTTTATGCATTCTCCATATGAAGAGCACCTTGATGCAGTATATCGAATTCTGAGGTACTTAAAAAGTACTCCAGGAAAGGGATTGTTCTTTAAAAGGGAGATCGAAAGACCATTGAAGCTTATACAGATGCTGATTGGGCAGGATCAACCTAGGGTATTGTACCTTTGTATGGGGCAATTTGGTTACTTGGAGAAGTAAGAAACAAAGTGTTGTAGCTCGTAGTAGTGCAGAGACAAAGTACCGAGCTATGGCTCATGGTGTCTATGAGATGTTATGGCTGAAGAGAGTTTTAGAGGAGCTGAAAAGACCTATTGAACTTCCAATCAGGCTCTATTGTGATAATCAGGCAGCAATTAGCATAGCTCACAATCCTGTGCAACATGATAGAACCAAACATATTGAGATTGACCGCCACTTCATAAAAGAGAAACTTGAAGGAGGAATTATCTGCATGCCATTAGTTCCATCAGCTCAGCAGATAGCTGACATTCTCACCAAAGGACTCTTTAGACCAAATTTTGAACTTCTTACAAGCAAGTTGGGCATGATAAATATATATATATATATATATAATATATATATGCACCAACTTGAGGGGTGTGTCAAAGATATTATCTCCTGTGATTATGGGAGATATTATCTCCCATGATTATCTCTCATGATTATGGAGATATTATCTCCCATGATTACGGGATTTTATTGCTTATGATCAATCAAGTTTGAATAGAAGATAGGATATGAGTTGATTATGTAATCCTAAAATCATGGTTCTATTACCTTAAGTTGTGGCAGAACTATGATAGGGTTGTCCTATAAATGCCTACCTTGTAAGCATATTATGTGTGTGGGAAAATAAAGAAAAGCAGAGTTTCTTGTTTATTTCCTTTTCTTTTTTAAAAAAAAAACTTTCAAACTCTCTATATGTTAAGTAAATATATCACCATCACCACAAAATTTGTTATCCATCTGTACAGAAAATATTACATGGTGCAATTCAAAACTAACTCACAAAAGCAAGATAATGCTTCTCTGCATCGGCAGTTAAGAGGATAGAATCTTTCATACTGATAGTAAAGATGATAGATGGAATCCTTCTTTAATCAAAGTTATGCTACATGAAAAGAGAATTCCACATACTTTTTTGGGTCAGGCATTAAACATGCTAAACTATCAAGACAATCAGAAGTTCATATATTTGCACGTCCAAATAGAATTATAGTTCAGTAATAGAAAAAAATTTGGTGAAAGTGGTTTAAGAAGATACACATACATACCCAAAAGTCTGCCCATAAACTAGCACCAGACTTTGGAACAACAACTGCAACATTTGACATCCTTTTAGCAGCAGGAAGAATATCACTACTCCACCCAACAGCCACCCAAACATCACCAACTCCGAAAGCTTTAAGATAGTACTGGCTGTCAAAAAGTCGAACCTATAGCCAACCGTGTAATGGAAACTTGTTAATACAGTTACCATCCATCCATGAACAGGTAATTGAAGTTTTGCAAGGTGTTCTACATCAGTCCAAGAACAAATAAGAGAATGATTAATTGACCACGTACAATTGCTGAACCACAAGTCACCTAAAGAAATAAGTCCAAACAAGATGCACTCATTAATGCAAAAACTTTTAATTTATGGAGTCCAAGAACAGATTGATTTACAAAAATTAGAACACTTCAAATTTTATCAATCACATTTACATTTTCATCAGTCCCAAATTCTCTAAACTTTGAAGGGACTCAATAAGTTCTTCACTTAAACAAATCCTCAGCTAGTCCTCCGATGGTTGTCCAATAGTTTTTTGGGTAGATCTACTCGAAAGCTGACACAAAGGAGAAAATTTAACTCTATGGTTATTCACCTATCATGTAATAAACTGACCTCTGCTAGTCCTCCAATGCTTGTCCTAAACGTTGTACAGTTTAAAACCTTGTAATATTAATGGGCCATTGGTGAAAAACCTAAATGCTCTCATGCTATCATTTGTGCTACTTCAGGAAACAGAATTATATAAAAACTTCTATAAGTAAAAGTTTACTAAACACGCCCCCAAAAACAAAGATCCAAAAAAATAAAATCCTTAATTTTTGCTATGCATGAGAACTCACTTTGGAGAGAGATAATCAATTTTCACTTGGACTTGAGAAGAAAACTATACTAGAGATTAATGAGGTCAAAATCTGCGGACTATTGAAGTCAATTTCTGGAAGTTTGAAGAAAAAAAAAGGGTAATTTGATTCTACTCTAAATTTAGAGACTAGGAGAAGTTCGTTGAAAAGTTTATGGGCCAATACAACTGGTTTTCCACAATCAAACTCGACAGGTTTCTTTATCATTTGCTGGAATGGTGTAGACATCTCTTAAATAATTATAATTGATAAACTCATAACCATGTAAAGATGATGCCTGCAAGATGCGTTGGAAAACCCAAACCCTCATATTCATCAATAAAATTCATTACATACTTGTTCCATTTCCAGTCTATCCAAGTGCCACTGTAAGATATATTTGTCAATAGCCTGTATGGGGGTTATGGGATCAAAATAGGGTCATTGTTTCACTTTGCCCCCAGCAAAAATTTAATTTGTCACTTTTCCCCTTTGACTACAGGTCAAAAGGAACAGTTGGTTTGACCATTAGTCAAAGAGAGAAGAATGAATTGAATAGCCTCCAACATTTAGTCAATAAAAGCATTTTACCAATTCCGTGTCAAACAAAAATTTTGTTTTCCATTCTTACCTTTCCACTAGAGGAAAGAAATAATATGTGCATGGCATGTGACTTGAATCAAAAGGAAAAAACAAGCAAAAGAATGAGGATTAAAATTGTGTTGTTCAAAGGAAAAGAAAAACCAAAAAAAAGAAAACTCTAAAGCTTAAAAGAAAGCTTAACCTTAACCCTTTGGCTGTCATACTGCTGTTGCTTATTATAAAATGGTGAAGGTGTATAGCTTTATTTTGCCATATTATGAAGTAGAAATTCATCAAAACACACTGAGTTTGTTTGGATAGGAGTTTATTTGGATGATTTATTTGAGATAATTAATGTAGCACTTTTTGTGATGTAATGTATATAAGATAAAAAGGTGATTGGAAAGATAAAAAGGTGTTGAAATTTGTGAAGTAAATTATTTTATCTGAAATCAAGTGAATCCAAACAAACCCACTCTTTTCTGAATACTAACCTATTTAGCTTGGGGGTTTTTTTCTTTCACTTTGAGCTTGCTTTTTACCATTTAAACAGAAACTATTTTTTTTTTTTTTTTTCAAGTTGCACGTTACATCAGTTTTATGTCCAATAGCGTGGTAACAATAAAACAAGAGTGTGCCTATTTTTTAATCCTAAATCATAAAACAGTCTATCAACTATTTTATTCAAGGCAGTTTTAGTTGTTTAGCACCATTAACTAGCAGTCAAACTAAGCGTTCATTAAGCCTAAGGTGGCAAAATGATAACTAGATTGTTATAAGGGGCAAAGTGAAAGTGACCCTAATAATTAAGACTACAGTGGCTCGGCTACCGGTCGAAGTTGCTTACATGAAACCCATTACCCATTATCAGTTTAAGATGTGCTTACTGAACTCATCGAATGTCAAGTTTTGATATGTATATATCCAACCCGTTACCAACTAATTGTGATGCACACAATTCATTTGTTAATTGTTAAGCCAACTGGGAATCAACCAGGAAAAACCAAATTACAATTTAGGTCACTCACCATCAAGAATATCACTATGTTAAACAAACAAATAGTGCTCTTTATCAATGGAAATCAAATTCCAAGGGGGCCTTCAAATTATTCATGTGATACTAATATAGCAGAAATCCAAGGGTGAGAAAATAAGGTTTCATGCACTGGAAGCCTAACAACTTAAAATATAATGAATCATGAAATCTTATGTTACTAAATCAAGAAAACCCTGTACCTATTAATATCTGCTACCAACAGAGGAAGTTAGGTTAAAATCTTTTTGTTCCTCATTTGACCGTTTAAATCTCCTAAGAGTTGAACAATATCGAGTCATTTGTTTGCAGAGAACTTAGTTTCTGAAAGGGCATCTGGCAATTTAATCATATTATTTGATAAGTTAAATAATTAGTAAGTCACATTATAGATTTCCTTGTCTCGTATGTAATAATAAATTCCCCATTACACAATGTCTTTTTCTTTTCCTTTCAATTCATTGGTTATTTAATAAGTTAATGATGTTTAAAATCAAATATTTGACTCAGCTTCAAACTGATTTAAGTAAAATGTAAACATACACATACAATCTGGCGTTGAGTATTTCGCTGCCTCTACAAACCAAATCAGATTACCCATCAATAAATCCTATGCAGTACCAAACTAAATGATTACCCATCAGTCACCTAATCAAGTTTTTAATCAGCTCAGACACCCATGCGTTTTGCAAATACAACCTGTTGTAATCCATCATAATAATAGGTAATATTAAGTGCACACCAATTTGTTTTAGCCTAACTTCAATCTGCAACCAAACATTGGAAGATTTTGAAAAAAACTTCCAGGAAATGCTTTACATCCAAACAAACAGAACCCTTATTTACCATCTACTGAACTCAGTTGCAGCCCTCATTGTGAAGTTTCTTATTTAGGTATTGAGAAAGTATACACTCTGTTCTTTTACTATTTTAATTTTATCTCATATGGCATCATAACAAGCATCAAACTGGGTATATGAACCTAAATGGATCAGAACTTGGATTACTAATGACTGAAAATGTTCAAAGCAAAGCACTTGGATACTGCATACATTCAAGCCAAGAACATCCCAATGTTTTTTGACTAACAGCTCAGGAAGGAAATTCCATGTTGATCTGACTAAATCTTGATCATAAGTATAAGATAATGAGCTGCCTTGAAGTTTAAAGCATTATAATCCTAGCTTATAGCTGTCAATTCTTCCCAGAGAAAAAAATCAAGGACTTCAGCATTCCTTATGGAATAATTTATACCTTTCACCTCAAAATTTTACCTGTTTAGCAAACAATGCAAGCTTCTCTTTCAAAGCAGATTTTCCACCAGCAACCTGAGAAGTGATGTTGTGTGTATTATATGAAGCCCCCATGTACTTTAACACTGCACCAACAATCTCTCGTGGTGAATCAACCATTGAAATCTTCCCAGCTAGCTCAGGCCGCCATAAATCAGCCCAATCCTGCAGATCATTCAGCTACTTTGATATGGCCAAACAGAAAAAGGAAGAAGAATTGTGAACTAACACATACCCATCTAAATGTGCTGACAACCTATGTTTTACCAGAAATTGTCTTTACCCTAACATAACCATGTCAAGACAATACATCATGGGTATGGGTGCAGGACACTCGTATGAAACAGCTGGTGTCACCAGACGTGAAGGAGGAGAAAAATAGAGGTTAACTGTTGAAGATATGTGATCTAATATTAAGAAAGATATGATTATAGTATCATGAATTAATTAGGTATCATATGATTATAGTATCATGTATTAATTAGATAATAGATTGATTTACATTAGCATGATTTTAGGATCTAAATTAGGTTATACTTGTGTATATATATATGTATATTGTGTAGTCTAAATGAGATGAAGAAAAGTATTTTCTCTCCTTTTTCTTAGTTTTCATGGTATCAGAGCCCTACCATCAAGGTTAGGGTCTCTGTCCGCTGCCAGAAAATTCAGTAGTCATCATTCGGTTCATCTGGTTCTGTATAGGACACATCTCTGTTCTATTCTTCACTCTTGTTTTAAAGAGTTCAGATCTGTCCTTTTTTTTTTTATTCTGTTAATTCTGAACCCATGCAGAAACGAAATCTGTCGTTACGTCTGATGTGGTTCCTGTGATGTCTAAGATCACGGACCACAAACTCAACAATTCTAACTATCTTGATTGGAGCAAAACGGTTCGTCTTTATCTGCGAAGCATTGATAAAGACAATCATCTGACTGATGATCCTCCAAAAGATGGTTCAAGACAGACATGGCTAAGGGAAGATGCTAGATTGTTCCTGCAAATACGGAATTCTATTGACAGTGAGGTAATTAGCTTAATTAATCACTGTGAATTTGTTAAGGAGTTAATGGAGTATTTAGAATTTTTGTATTCTGGTAAAGGGAATATTTCTCGCATATATGAGGTGTGTCAAGCCTTTTATCGTGCAGAGAAACAAGATAAGTCCATCATGACTTATTTTATGGATTTTAAGAAAACTTATGAGGAGCTTAATCTGTTGTTACCGTTTAGTTCTGATGTGAAAGTTCAGCAAACTCAACGGGAACAGATGGCAATTATGAGTTTTTTGGCTGGTCTTTCACCTGAATTTGAAGCTGCTAAATCTCAGATTCTTTCAGTCCTGAGATCTCATCCTTGCAAGATGTGTTTAGTAGGGTGCTTCGCACAGAGAATACCCAGTCTGTTCAGTCCAGCAGTGCTCTTGTTGGTCTTGGAAAACAGCAATACAAAGGTGGTGGTAAAGGAATTGACACTCGGGACAGAATGCAGAAGTGGTTGTGTGTTACTATTGTCAAAAGCCGGGCCATATGAAGCGTGATTGTAAGAAATTGCAGTACAGGAACCAGAGAACTCAATCCGCACATATTGCTTCTACCAATGATGCTATTAACCATGAAAAGTCTGTTACGATCTCTGCAGATGAATTTGCTAAATTTTCTCAGTATCAAGAATCATTAAAGTCTTCATCTACTCCCGTAACTGCCATCGCTGAGTCAGGTAAACCAAACACATGCCTTGTGTCCTCGTCCTCCAAATGGGTAATTGATTCTGGTGCCACAGATCATATGACAGGTAATTCTAGTCTATTTTCTACCTTTCAGCCACACACATCTGCACCTACAGTTACCTTAGCTGATGGGTCAAAATCTCGTGTTCTTGGATCAGGCTCAGTTAACCCCACTCCATTAATCTCATTGTCATCTGTCTTAAGTTTGCCTGAGTTGTCTTTAATCTAATTTCTGTGAGTAAATTACTCGTGCCCTCAATTGTTCTGCCCAATTCTTTCCTGACTATTGCTTGTTTCAGGATCTTACGACGAAGCAGATTATTGGTAAAGGGCATGAATCTGGAGGTCTTTACATTCTTGACACACAGATACCAAAGTCCATAGCTTGTTCTGGAATTGTAACTCCATTTGAAGCACATTGTAGGCTGGGTCATCCTTCTCTCCCGTTGTTAAAGATACTTTGTCCACAATTTCAGAGTTTGTCTTTATTAGATTGTGAGTCTTGTCAGTTTGCCAAACATCATCGTGTTAATCTGAGTCCTAGAGTCAATAAACGAGCGGATGCTCCTTTTGCATTAGTTCATTCAGATGTCTGGGGACCTAGTCCAGTCATTTCTAAAACTGGATTCAAGTATTTTGTTACTTTTGTTGATGACCATTCTCGTATGACTTGGTTATATTTAATGAAAAATCGGTCAGAGTTGTTTTCTCATTTTTGTGCTTTTTGTGCTGAGGTTAAGACTCAATTTAAGCGTTCTGTACAAATATTGCGAAGTGACAATGCCAAAGAATATTTATTCGCACCTTTTCAATCTTATATGGTGCAAAATGGCATTATTCATCAAACCTCTTGTGTGGATACACCATCCCAAAACGGGTCGCAGAACGAAAGAATAGACATTTGCTCGAAACTGCAAGAGCCTTATCATTTCAAATGCATGTTCCTAAACATTTTTGGGCTGATGCAGTGTCCACAGCTTGCTTTCTAATTAATCGTCTGCCTTCATCTGTTTTGAATGGTGGGACTCCTTATAATACTCTTTTTCAAATAGACCTTTGTTTCCCATCGAACCTAAAATCTTTGGGTGTACATGTTTTGTCCGCGACTCTCGTCCCCAAGTCACTAAATTAGACCCCAAATCATTGAAATGTATTTTTCTTGGTTATTCCCGTGTCCAAAAAGGATATAGATGTTATTGTCCTAGTCTGGCAGGTACATTGTGTCAGTTGATGTTACTTTTCTTGAAAATACACCTTTTACCCCATCCTCATCTCATTCATGTCAGGAGGAGGATGATGATTTGTTAATCTATACTGTCACATCTTCAAGATCTTCCCCTGCTAAACCTCCAATTACTCAGGTATATTCTCGACGACAAAAGTCTCCTGCTGCATGCCCTGAACCAGTTCCTTCGTTACTAGATCCTGTCTCAAGTGATGATCTTCCTATTGCTCTTCGCAAAGGTAAGCGTCAATGCACTTATCCTGTGTCTTCGTGTGTATCTTATAATCATTACCCACCTCTTCTTGTTCCTTTATTACATCTATTGATTCTATCTCCCTTCCTAAAACTGTTCATGAAGCCCTATCCCATCCCGGATGGCGCAATGCTATGATAGAGGAGATGAATGCTCTAGATGGTAATGATACTTGGAACTTAGTAAATTTACCTGCAGGGAAGAAGGCCATTGGGAGTAAGTGGGTTTTTGCAGTTAAATTCAATCCTGATGGGTCGGTTGCTCGGTTAAAAGCTCGCCTTGTTGCCAAAGGCTATGCCAAATCTATGGAGAGGATTATTCTGACACTTTTTCCCCTGTTGCTAAGTTAACATCTGTCAGGTTATTCATTTCTATGGCAGCCACTCATAATTGGCCTTTGCATCAACTAGATATCAAGAATGCCTTTCTTCATGGAGACCTCCAAGAGGAAGTTTATATGGAGCAACCACCAGGGTTTGTTGCTCAGGGGGAGTCTGGGAAGGTTTGTCATCTTCGGAAGTCCTTGTATGGACTGAAACAAAGTCCTCGTGCTTGGTTTGGAAAATTTAGTCTAGCAGTTGAAAGGTTTGGGATGCAGAAAAGCAAATCTGATCATTCTGTTTTCTACAAACAGTCTGAAGCTGGTATTATTTTGTTGGTAGTATATGTGGATGATATTGTTATCACTGGAAATGATGCTGCAGGTATTTCATCTCTTAAAACTTTTCTCCATAGTCAATTTCAGACAAAGGATTTGGGACTGTTAAAGTATTTTTTGGGTATTGAGGTAGCAAAGAGTAGGAAGGGGATATTCCTGTCCCAAAGAAAATATGTTCTTGACTTACTATCTGAAACGGAAAATTGGGGCTAAACCAGCTAGTACCCCAATGATCCTAACTTGCAGCTCACAAAAGAAGGTGAATTGTTAGAAGATCCTGGGAGGTATAGAAGATTGGTTGGAAAGTTGAATTATCTTACAGTGACTCGTCCAGATATCGCGTATTCAGTTAGTGTTGTTAGTCAATATATGTCTAATCCTACTGTTAATCATTGGGCAGCTGTAGAACAAATTTTGTGTTATTTAAAAGGAGCTCCTGGACGTGGTATTCTATATAAAAATCATGGTCATACTAGGATTGAGTGTTTTTCAGATGCTGATTGGGCAGGATCCAAGGCAGATCGAAGATCCACAACTGGATTTTGTGTCTTTGTTGGAGGAAACCTGGTCTCATGGAAGAGTAAGAAGCAGAATGTTGTCTCGCGATCGAGTGCAGAGTCAGAATATAGAGCTATGGCACAATCGACATGTGAAATCATGTGGATAAATCAACTTCTAACTGAAGTAGGTCTCAAAACCTCAATGCCTGCAAAATTGTGGTGTGATAACCAAGCGGCTCTTCATATTGCATCCAATCCCGTATTTCATGAGCGAACAAAACACATCGAAATAGATTGTCATTTTGTTCGTGAGAAAATACAGCAGGGCTTGATTTCTACAGGATTTGTAAGGACTGGAGAACAATTGGGAGATCTCTTTACGAAGGCTCTACATGGGGTTCGAGTTGATTACCTTTGTAACAAGCTGGGCATGAGCAACATCTATGCTCCAGCTTGAGGGGGAGTGTTGAAGATATGTGATCTAATATTAGGAAAGATATGATTATAGTATCATGTATTAATTAGGTATCATATGATTATAGTATCATGTATTAATTAGGTATATATTGATTTAGATTAGCATGATTTTAGGATCTAAATTAGGTTACACTTGTGTATATATATATGTATATTGTGTAGTCCAAATGAGATGAAGAAAAGTATTTTCTCTCCATTTTTCTTAGTTTTCAACGTGTTGTTCAAAAGAAGAGAAAACTCATGACTTGTCCAGTATGTGGCAAGATAAAGACAATGGTTTTAAAAAAGCTGCCAAAATGGTTGCTCAAGGAAGAAGATCAATGGACAGGAGGCTTAGGCTGGCTGGACTGCTTTTTTCTACCTTTTTTTTTTGTTTGGTGTTTTTTTGAGGGGAGGGGAAGGGAAGGGAAGGAGGTTTTGGATAGAAGACAGCTGGCAAACGGTAGAGGAGCTGAGATATTTGTACTGTAGATTATTTTTCCATTCTAAACTCCCAAATCTCTGAAAAAGGGCACAACCTTATCATAGTACTTGTGGCTTAACCCATATAATTATACTAAAGTATATCACACACATTTTATTTTTAAAATGTGGAAATAATTGCACTTTTCTTTATCATGCTCCTAATGATTCTAACAAATTTTGAATCTCAAATATCCTTCATTTAGCATGAATTACCATAGCCTTGTTCATGGAGCTTTTAAGTTCACAGCATAGAGAATCCGATGCTTGGATACACACTCTGGTATCCAAGTATGAGTTTTGCAGTTGAAAACTACACCAAGAATGAGATATTGCATCACATGGTTGGCAGGAGGTCAATTGGAAACTGACCTATTTCCTCAAATTCTTATTCAATAGCTCAGTAAGTTTGAAATTTGAAGGAAAGGAAATATCTATTAAAACCAGGAAAATAGTAGCATAATACAGGAAACAACACATTTTATGGTAATCAAAATCCTCGAGCTATAAATTCACAGAAAAGACACATATCACCCCTCTCAACAACCTCTCACTCCCCACAACTTCTTCCCATTTCAAATAGCATCAAAAGACACACCAAGTCAGATCGTGCAGGACATCCCTCTCTTCAATGCCAACACTTAATGTCCATGTTGGATGACTTTCATGTGGGCTTTTCACAAGTTCTCCAACCTTATTGCATTAGGAGTATGATAAGTACCGTGTCCTAACATATATTATACCAATTGGCCTATTGCCACAGATAGTTTCATGGTTTATAACTCATTTGTGCCCTCATACTCTCTACAACTTAATCACTGGCCGGAATACAGGAATTAATTTCCTCATTTAAAGTTCTTCATATAGCCAAATACTATGAGACTCAAGATTTCCAAAATTTACAACTTGCCTCTTTATTTACAAAATTTGTTTTACAACTACTTAATGATAGCTTTATCTAGAAATGCAAATTTCGCAACTATTGTTTGACCTTTTTTTCTTTTGGTATTGCCACTTTGAACTGCCTCTAGCTCATTTATGGAAACTAATCATAGGTGATCTACTTTTCTGTTAAATTGAGAGGTAGTAGAATTGCATAATACATTCTTACAAATCTATTGTAGGATGGGAGTGTTTTTCAAAAACTAGTTTTTCAAATACAATAAAAATTTTTAAAAAGTACTCTAAAAGGTAATCTAAAAATTAGTTTAAAATTTTAAAAAATATGTCAAAATATATTCTAGAAACTCTTCTACTCTTAAATATCCCAAAATGAACGAATGTGAATTTGGAAAGGATCGCTTTAATTCTTCAATGATAAGGGGCAAAAGCGTAAATTTACTCTAACCTCTGGACAACTATAGAACAATTTAGAGCAGCTGATAATTCACCAATGGACAAATGCTATTTAGAGTAATACCAACAACGAAATAACACAATTGGGTCATGAACTTTTCCAGATTTAACAAGTCTGAACACAATGTCAGAAATCAAATCTCCATAATGTTTCTATATACTTCGACATCTTGCCTAAGCAATCACATATTTCCAGAACACCACCGCCCCAACAATGATTAAACAAAATTAGCAAACCATTCACAATTAACACAAAGCATTGAGCTCCAGAAATCTTTACTCGTTTTAATATCATGGGTTGAACAAAAGCCGAAGATCTGACTTACCACTACGGGAGCCAATTTATGCTTTAGAAATTTGCTTTTCTTATAAGCTATAACCAGGCTTCCCCATCTGTACGGAACGGCCCATATTTTGCCTTGAGGATCCAAATTTCCATCAGTACTCCTGCGCAAATATCCCTGAGATTATATAAAGTAGCTCTGAAAACACAGCAAACACATCCCTATGTTAAAAGAGTATATCACTACTTGGGAGAGAGGACAGTGAAAAGTGAATAATCAATAAAAACAAAGTAATTTTCTTATACAAGTAGAACCACAAATTAGTTCTTCATTTGCGATAGCAATTAATAGGTAAAAGCTTCTACCTAATTTCATACAGGCTTCTTTTGCAAACAGAAAAATAATAGAAAACTTTAAGCAATGACAGCAAGTTGTTCAGATTGGTCAATATCTTGTATAAGGCTTAACAGCATTCAGCGGAATGCTGAAAAAACAACATACATATGTACGCATCTTCTTCTATCTACATACACAAACACGCATCTCTACAGAGAAAATAATAACTTTTAGCAACTCTCAGAACTCGTGGGAAAAAAAAAGTTTATAGACAATTGAGAAACTGAATCAATTCTTTCTAAAACCTTAAAAAAAAAAAAAAAAGAATTCAAAGTAAGATATTTGTGATTTCCTTTTCCCATCATAATGAGTAAAATTAATAGAGAGCCAACTGTCAAATTAATGAGCTAACTGGGAGTTACTTACCATGGACAGAAAAGAAACCGCAGCCAGGCAGGTAAACAGACAAGCAAGCACACACACATACACATGAAGAGAGGTAGACAAAGACACAAACACACAGAGATTAGGGAGTTTCAGTATTTTATGGCCTGGCATAAGAAGCATACTGATGGTCCAAATAAGCAGCAAGTACAACTTAATATTGAGAGTTTTCCATATTTATTTTCTTTTTCCTGCAGAAACAAGCTAAAAAAGCTGTGATGACAATTTTTTTCAAGTCTCACACTTGAAACGAAACATGAGCACATCACAAGGGCCCTTTCACTGCTTCAGTGGTAAAGTAAAGCCCAAAATGACAATATGTAAATCTATGTCTACCTTCCAGTCCTCAGTCAAATCTCGAAACCAATCTTGTTCTTCCACCCCTTGGATGGGCTGAATCAAACCCTCTTTTATGGCAAAACTGAGCCAAGAATCACCCAGCGTAACAACATCAGCTGCCATTGCAGATTTTGGGCTAACAGCTCCTTTGTTATTTGACTGGCAAAGTTCAGAAAAGATGTCCGTAAGGTTTTGACGAAACTCTGGCTGTAACTTCACTCTCTTTCCTTGGGATTGTATGAACTCCTTCAAAAAAAAATGCAAGATGAAAATCTACAAAATTGTGCTGTAATAATTAGCAACAAGAAGAAAAGAATAAGTGAAAAATCACAATGCATTAATGAGAGCATAAAGTAAATCAACCGGCAATCTACATAACGTAGTCTACATACTCATGAAAAAGATTTAAGAAAAATAATGAGAAACCATAATCAGTTATCGCATGTCTAAACACTAGAAATGGCAAGGGGGAAAAAAGGCATCTAGGTACCACATCATAGCTGCAGTGACTGCTAGCAATAGCAGGCAAAAATCAACTCAACAGGGTGGATTTCTATTCATTTGACAGTTGAGGAGGGAAAAAGAAGAGAAGGGGGGGGGAGGCAAACAGCAAAAGTAGGATATGAAAGCACACCTGGAACCATATAGAAGGGAGTGAGTTGCGTAAAGCAACAACTCTTAAAGGAACTGACAAAGCATATGTTTTGGACTTCCATCTCTCAAAAGCTGCCTTCAGTTCATCAGCTTCAGCTTCTTCCAAATTCTCTGACTTTTTTACATCACCAAGGTCTGTATCAACACCAAGTAATGGCAAATATTCAAGAAATGAGTGATGCAGACAACAAATGGCTCAAGGAATTCCAGGATTGAGGTTTTCCAGAATTTTGCTCAAACTTCAATTCGGCACAACATCATGGAGAAACAGTATTATCTGAGACTTGGTTTGAGTCTGAAAGGAATCTTTTTTTCCAGCTTACCTAACTTGGTTTTTAACTTTTATGAGTTTTGAGATCTAATTTTGGGCGATTACAGGTGGTAATTAGGAATTTAGCTTTGGCAGGAACTTTTGGTTTTTGTTATATCTCTGTTCTCGTAGTTAGTATTTTACTAGTTAGTAAGAAGCTAAGGAATCTTTTCTGATTAGGCATTAGTATTAAGAGAGGAACTTGTTTATATTCTCACCAAATAGTGAATCCTAAATGCAATACAATTTGATTTCGGAGTATAGATTGTGCTTCTCCACAAAGGGAAGACGGGTTTATTAGATTCATAAAATTCCTGCACACTTGTTGTCATCTTGAGATTGCTTAACACAATCTTTCCTTAGCTGTGATTCTTAAAAGTTTCTAGGAGTCATTCCTGGAGTTTCCTAATTTAATTTTCTTGGTAATCACTAGTTCCCAGCAGTTATCTATGATTCTGGTTCTGATTTATTGGGATCTTTGTTTCTACAATTTTTGCTGATAAGATTGTGATTTTCTTTGAGTTCAAAGCCCTGATAAACTTTTCTAAGCATTCGTTGATTTACTATCACCTGTGGTGCTGCATCACCAAGGTACTTGGATGGTAATCCAATTTACCAAAAACAAGCCTCATAACTATTTGGGTTCCAATGGTATTTTACTCTAAAATCATACATATAAAGCATGAAACTCATAGAAACTTGAATTTTCAGATTATTTCAGTATCAGTTATCCCGCTCAACCTCCCAACAATTCTCTAAGAAACAGAGTGCTGGATTCAACTTTCCAATACTCTCCAGTAAAAACTCGTACATCCATAATTTATCTTTGGCTGATTTGCACCAAAGATGGTAAGTTAATAATAGTGATCATGAAAACTTCAAACAGGATAAGGACTTCAGAGATTTCTCTGAGGGTTTATTCCTAAATGAAGCCCATATATTCTTTCAAAACTCCATATTTCCAAAGCAACCATGTAAAGATATCTCTAATTACGATACAGTGGAGGAGACAGCTTGCTTCAAAAGTCAGAACAGCCTCGCAAAAGAATAAATCAGTTGTCTCTTCACAATAAATATAAGGAGAAACGAGTATGGATTTTGCTTCACGATAAATAACAGCTTCAGAAAGGTATACACAAAAAGAAGAACGAGTACGAATTTTGATATCAAAATTATCATCTTTGCCCCAAATAGGCTATATCACTACATTCCAAAGATATCATTCCGAGGCAAATAATGAAGCTCAATTACCTCTGTTGGTCATCTTGTGCTTGTCTTAGTTGGACAACATTAGCAGAATATCACTTAGTTAGTCAAGCTATAGTAGGGGAATTGCCATTACCCAGGAAACAAGAAAGAAGCAATTGATCAGGTTAAAAAACCTAGCTGTGCTACTTACAGCCAAAACTTCTTTTGTTTCAACTAACCAATTATCTTCCATCAACCATGAAAAGGATAAGCATTCTAAGGGGGTGTTTGATAACCCGTTAACCCCGTTAGTTTTCTTGCATATTAATACATTAAGACTTTAATTTGTATACAAAATTTTAAGTGAAAGATGTATCACTTATTGGCTGAATTTTTTTATTATTTTTTCACGCATATAAATTTTCTCACACACACACTCTCTCTCACACGTACACTTTTATACATTCTCTTTCTCTGTCTCTCTCTCTCTCTCACACACACAGATACTCTCTAACACCCAAACACACTGTCATAGATAAACACAGACACTTTCACACCCATACACAAATACACACACACTCTCTCTCTCTCTCTCTCTTACACCTACACACATCTGCTCACTCTCTTCCCCACAGACACACAATTCATACATACACACTCTCTCTCACACACAATCTCTCTCTCCTACATGTATTTTCTTCAATAACACGTACTTTTAAATGTAATCTCTCCATCAAACACACAAAATATATACTAATATTCTCTCTAAAACACACATTTTCACACTAAAAACACACTCTTTTTCTATCACACGCAACAAAAGCACACTTTCCATATTAATATGCAGTTTATTAGTATCAAAAAGTAATATTTAAAACATTATATAATACAAAAATATAGCATACTATTCAACTATATAGTACACATGAAATAAAATATTTCAATTCCATGCTTGCATTCAGCTGGTTATCAAACAGATTTGACTTTATGGATTCAGTAAATTAAGATTTCAGCCATTAAGTTTCAATCTTCAGTTTTCAGTTTGGTCAAATGCCCCCCAAGACTAACAAAGGTGTGGATGCATCTTGTAAATAACAGTTGAGAACAGCATTTCAATGTGCATGGGCTACTTCATAATACTAAATACAATATCAATATTTCCTAGTCGACTCAAATATCCAATTAGGACATTGAGGAGAACAAAATTTACGTGAATTACTGTAGAGTTTTGAACATTTGGCATACTCGAGATCAAGTTGCACTCATTCCTTATAAGGAGAAAAACTAGGTTGCTTAAATCAGGGCTAGCACTTAGACTAGGTGCAGAACTTCCAAAATTTCCTCCTCCCCTCTTGTAACTCACCTAATCCTAGAACTTAAATTCTTTTTCTACTACTCTATAATCCTCCATCCTCTTCACCTTCTTCATAAGTACTCGCCTTCATTCTTTGTCATTCTTAATAAACAAAAAACCATCTGATTGTTGCTCAAAAACTACCCTCTACTCAACAATTCCCAGAAGAATCAAAATAGAACACATACAAAATCCTTGAGACAGTACTCCAGACAAAAATATGAAAAATTTTACTGCTGACAAGGCACCTATCGGGGCAAAAAGTTGAGTGGAATTTGGGCTGGACCAGCTGCACAATGAACAAGAACGTTTTTTTCACCTCACTCTTAGAATCTGGAGAACTCTTAACTTCAATCTTCATACAGTAGTATAAGATATAGCCAACTTATCTTTTTCATTGACTTCTTTCAGTTTTCAACAGGTATCTAGGCATGCGAAAGGCCCACAAATAATGCTCTCACCTTTGCACGCACTCTAACAACAGAAATGAAGAAATGCTTAGGAACAGAATCATTAAATTACCAACTCTTGGATCATCTAGTTATAAAACCAACATTTCATAGAAAGTAAAATAATAAGCACATTATTCTCAAGTATTTCCTCCTGTTATTAGACCAACATAAACAGAGAGCACTTATATTACTAAGTATGAAAAACTGCTGACACTAGAACAAGCATAATCATTAAGCATATTCCTCGATGTTTCAATATCAACTACAACTGCAACAGTAAAAAGCAAAGAACAAAACAACACCACATAAGTCTAAACTGTTTCAAATACCAAGTTTCAGTATGCCCACATAAGTCTAAACTGTTCTCGTTTGGCACCCATTAAATATGTTAATTAGAGTCCTAAATACAACCAATCAGTAAAAGTACATCAATCTAAGCACAACGTCCAACCGATCAAAGGTAAGATTGTACCCTGGAATTGGCAGTTCACAACGGAAGCAATAAAGGAGGAAGCCTGGTACAGGCGGATGCCGGCAAGGCCCGAATGCCGAAGCCTAACCCCAGGAAGAGAACAAAGGAGACGGCGAGGTTCTGAAGAATATCTCCAGTGCTCGTCGGCGTCGGCAGCTGCGGCGAGGAAGACGTCAGATTCCGGTCACGTGAAGCGGCTGAAACTTTAAGAATTGAGAGCCGGAGGCTCTGATTGCGGAGAGATTGCAATTGGGGATTTTTTGTGGGAATTAGAAGAACCGTGGAATTAGGGGTTAAGGAACTGTGGCAGATTGAAATTGACATATTATTGTTTCAAAACTGTTGAGAAATTGTGACAGAAATGAAGGCGTGTGAAACGGGCAGATAACTCAAATTGGGGATACGGGCAGGAGACGACCGCTCCTGAACGGTTGTGAGTCTCCTCACAATAAAAAACGTGAGGAGACAAATGAGCCAAGTCAGCAAGGCTGAAGCAGGGCACAAAAACGACGCCGTTCCAAATAAAAAAATGTTGACTTTCAAACGGGAGCAGACGGAGCAAACAGAAGAGAATTGGTTTTTGAAATTCAAATTGAAATTTTGAATTAGCCGCAAAAAACAAAATTGAGGGAAGCGTCTTCATGTGCTTGTGGAGGTCATCTACTCTGACTGACCGCTCACTAAAGGTAAAAAGCCGAAATTCGGGTGGGATTCAACCTACTGGGTGTTTCTAGGTGAAGTGGGTGTAGTCTACTCTGATGAAGGTAGTAATTGACAGAAAAAATGGGTAGAGAGGCAGGCGGCATGGAAGAAGCAAACAAAGATGAAGCCAAAGTTTGTCCGTAAAACTGAATAGCAGAAGCAGCTGTGGTCTCCAATTGGGTATAAGAGTGTTGTATGTATTCTGAATGCGTGCAAGAGCGGCGGTAAGGTAGAAGCAAATAGAGGAAATTTAGCATCTCACGAAACCAGATTTTGTCCTTCAACTTAATAGCAGAAGCAACTACGTCTCCGACTTCGGTGAAACGTGAAGTGTATTAGCAGACCAAGGTAACATGACTGAATCATGTCAGTAACTGTGGCCAATAATTTGTCACCCAAATGCACATCTGTTAAAGGAAGGATGAAATTAGAGTCACTGAAGACATAATATGAAGATGATAGAAGAATAGTGAAGTTGTACTGTATTTGTATATGTGTACCGTATCTGTGTGTGTGTGAGCATTCAGCTTTTCAGTGATGGACTATAATGGGATAGTAGTTTTTGGAAGACCTAGGGTTATGTATTCAAGTAAACCAGTCGACTGGAATTAGGGAAAAAGATGAGAGAAACAAAGTCACATTTAACAAGTGAATGAATATACATCTGTTGTAAATTAGTTACATGTTATAGCCACCGTATTACAATTGATATGAATCATTGTGCATCTAGTAATTGGTCCATGCTCATGGAGCAATATTAGTTTGCCCTCTCTGACCATACAGTGTGTATAAAATGAGGCGTAGAGTTGAATGAGGTGAAGCAGAGGAAAAGACACATATGTGAATAATAAATGGGTGAACCTTGTGTTGTAAGTCAATTACATGATGTAAGAAATATATTACAATGAGTAGAAAGTACTTGTTTGGCCCTCAAAATGTAGAAAAGTAGAAAATGGGAGTTGGTTATGCGGTTGTCATTAACGAATGACATAAGGTCCAGTGAGCTAAAGAATCTAGAATCAAAATATAATCACCAGCGTGGATGTACATACAGTTAAAATAGACTTACATCGTGTGACCAATACATTACAGTCCGTATAAGTTAGTGTACATGGAGTTGTATTTGTACATAGATAATGCCGTTGTAGAGTAGTAAAAGTAAGGTGATGTGAATCATTAATCATATTGATAAGCGTAATAATAGGATTTGGTATACGAGTAATGTGTGATTCATAACACATTATGAATGGTAATATACATTTATATTGTCGTTTATGTACATACTATTCATGAAATGTTGCAAATTAGGGTGTTTGATGCATAATTGGCAGGAGCAGAAGTAATGGATTGCAGCAAATTGGCAGAAAATGGGACCCCTGAGTTAGGAATGGAGTTCAACAGTGAAGAGGATGCGTACAAGTTTTACAACAAGTATGCCTTTAAAATGGGTTTCAGTGTACGTAAAGACTATCTGAATAAAGACAAAGACGGCGTGACCACGTCTAGGAGATATAGTTGCTGCAAGGAAGGTGTGAAACGCAAGTACGAAGGTGATGTGATGCCAAAGAGGACACGAGCGCCGACGAAAACAGGGTGTGGAGCTAAATGGTTATCGTGTTGTTTAGAGGGACAATGAAGTACCGTGTGCATGACCTTGTCTTAGAGCATAATCATGAGTTGCACATTGCTCAATGTGCTCACATGATGCCATCACAAAGAAAAGTGAGTGTGGCTCAAGGATTCCAAGCTGAAATAAGCGAGGATGCTGGGCTTTCATTGAAACAGAGCCATGAGCTTATGGGAAAGGAAGCAGGTGGGATGGGTAATGTGGGATATACTCGGGATGATCTTAAACGATATCTTCGAACGAGACGGGAAAGGAGCTTGAAATATGGAGAAGCAGGTAGCATGCTGAATTATTTTCAAGAGCAAACACTCGAGAATCCATCTTTTTTCATGCCGTACAGCTGGACTGTGAAGAACAAATAACGAATATCTTTTGGGCTGATGCAGGAATGTTAATTGACTACAACTTTTTTGGAGACGTAGTCACATTCGACACAACCTACAAAACAAATAAAGAATACCGGCCACTTGGAGTATTTGTGGGTTTTAACCAGCATAGGCAAATTGTGATATTCGGTGCTGCCTTATGTATGATGAGACGATAGATTCTTTCAAATGGGTGTTTGGTACATTTCTAGAAGCAATGTGCGGAAAGCATCCAAGTACCATACTAACCGACCAAGATCACGCCATGGCAGCCGCTCTTTCAATTGTCATGCCTGAAACATTTCACGGTCTATGTACGTTTCACATAAGGCGTAATTTTATGAAACATCTTGGCAATCACTACAAGGAAAATAGTGATCTTCCATACATGTTTGGTGCCTGCATGTATGAGTTTGAAGAAGTGGAACAATTCAATAGGGTGTGGGAGGATGGTGAAGAAACACAATCTTGAAAATAATGAATGGCTCTCGGGTTGTATAAATTCGTGATAAATGGGCAAGGTGCATGATGAAAGAAAGATGGACCGCGGGAATGCGAAGCACCCAACTCAGCGAAAGCCTAAATGCAGCAATTAAAAATCATTTGAAACTGGATCATGACCTTGTGCAGTTCTTTAGACATTTCAATCGGGTGGTTGATGAAAAGAGACATAATGAACTGATCGCAGAATATGAAATGAGGCAAAAGCTCCCATGGTAGGGTTAAGGCAAACACCTATGCTTGTGCATGCATCAGAGACGTATTCACCAACCGTATTTGTTGCATTCCAAAATGAATATGGCGAGTCAACAGCTATGGTTATATTGAGACAACAAGATGCAGCGATGTTTGTGGAGTTTGCGGTCATGAGGTATGATGGAGGACCTGAAAGAATAGTAGTATTCAATCGGAATGATCTAAGTGTACGTTGCAGTTGCAAAAAATACGAGAATGAAGGCATTTTATGTGGGCACGCGTTGAAGGTGTTTGATACCGTGGGCATAAAAATAATTCCTCCTGAATACATTAAGAGGCGATGGACAAAAAGAGCTCGGGCTGGAGACTGTTTTGATCGGCGAGGACAGGAAGTTGTGGCTGATCCTAAAGTAATGATTTCAACTCGTTATCGGAGCTCGCTCCAGCCATGATTAAGGTCGCAACTCGAGCAGCAATGTCGGAGGACACCAGCAAAGTAGCAATCACTGTCATATCCGATTTGTCAAAGAGAGTTGAGCTCCTCCTCTCAGAAAGCGAAGAGCAACCTTTGCAAAATCAAAAAAATCTGAATATGGAGGAACGAGATAAAATTGAAATTGTAAATGAAATGGGGGAGGCAGTAGTCGCAAGAGGCATTAAAAAACGAGGCGGTGGGAAGAAAAGTAGAGTGATGCGAAGTTGGGTCGATAAATTTGACAGAGTAAAAAGAAAATCTAGATTATCAAGACTACACAGACTACGGTATGGATCAAATTTTGGTACTTGGGGAACATTTATGCTAAAACTAAGTTATTGTTATACTATTAACTAAAGTTTAGGTAACATTCATTATGAAATAATATTATTGCCGTGTCAATACTGTAGGTCTCAGAATCGGAGCCGACATCGGTTTCATTTGAGGAATACATGTTTATGGGATGCCGTTCATCTACTGACTCTGTTTCGGTTAGTATAAAATGGACATGACTCTTGCTTTTATTTGGATGTTTCTAACAGCATAAATAGTTACATTGATGTTACATTGTGTGATAATGTTGTTACGGCCGTCATCCCTCCTGATATACGTATTTTGTTTGTCTTATACAATGATTTGCCCATACGAAACTTGTAGACGCATTCAATGAGTCAGACAGTGAATGGCCTCCAAATGCTGTTGCTCCCGATATCGATGAAAGTCAAACGGTATGCATACATTTAGTAGTTAAAATAAAACCTTCTTGTTCATGTAGTAGAGCTACCTTTTTTTCTTTAATTGTAATGGTGGGCACCCGAAGGCTGTCAAATCATGCAAATTATGTAGTTAACGTATGCTCGCTTTAATAACGTATTATTTTTTATTATTCAAGGTCCACCGTTTGGCTAATCAGGGGCCTCCTGCAAGTGTCCCTACAGAATGGATGCATCCCAGATTTTCTATTTTTTCCAAGCATAACTCCGTCAGAGATGTCTTAATGGTCTGATATATCATTTTTGTTATAATGTCTAGTCCAATTTAACTTTATAAGTGAGCAATATAGGCACTGGTAATGATTTGTTGACAGTCGATTACTTATACTATATAATGTAGGAGGAGCGTGGGGCAATTTCAACACACTGTGATGTTGATGCATATCATGTATTTGCACCATCACCTCAGGTGACAAACTTTTATCGTTACAGCACATATTTATGTAATGTTATTAATTGGAGACTTGGACATCGTATATCATTAATCGTATGTTTTATTAATAATATTTGCTGATTTGCCATCGTTACGCATTTCAGGGAAGAAATAACACACAGGGATTGCAACTACGCGTTGACGTCGCCTCCCCAGAATGAGGTTGATGAATGATGTGTAACTATACTTTTGAACGAGACATTAAGTGGTTGTCCCAACCTGAGAATGCTGCATATGTACGTTACAAGCAGTTAATAAGCTGTTACAACTTATTGACGAGGTTATACAGGCACCATTGATGTTTCACTCTTTTCAAATTTAGACAAGTGGATTACAATTGTAATCGCATCTAGTGTTAGTAGTCATCAATAGTTTGTATTGGGTTGTATAAAATTGTTAGAAAATTATAAAGTTGGTAGAAAATTGAAGTAACAATTTTACAATAGAATTGAACGTGTTTTTTGTGATCGGATATTTTTCACTAAATCGACCATAACAGTTGAATGGTTGTCGTGATATGTATACCATTCTACTACATTCAATTGCATACCTTAATAACATATTTATTGGCATAGATCGCACCGCCAAAGGTACGATGTATAAGATAACACAATCTATCTAAAGTATAAATTGTCTTGATTTTGTTATGATGATAAATTCGAATTATTATTGGGCTATTTTTATAAAACATTATCATTTAGGCCATTTGTTTTGCATCGCTTGACGAATTTAGTGCACCATTGACATGATATATCACAGGCACATCAATTGGTATTACAAGTTTTTAGGTTAATTAAATTATGGTCAAGCCAGGTCACGACCACATGTTGGTAATAGGTGCGCATAAGAAAATGATTCCTTGGAGAACTAATTTGTAACGTTAAAATGAAGTTTTACAATGCAACAAAAAGGAAGAACGAACAGTACACAATGGGTTACAACCAGTTAGGGATATGTTACTGTTACGTTACAACTAGTTACGACTGTTTAACAGGCATGATTAATATCCAAATATGGTAAGCAATTTGTTTGAGTAGAGATTATAATGAGTATAGTTTTATCGCTACCCTACAAACATTGATACATCCCTTGTTATCAGTTGTATCCCATACAACACCTGGGAACGCCGTCATGCATTAGACAATGGGGTATGTACCTTTGAAAGTCATCGTCGCTTGATTCAGTAAAGTCAGATAGGTCCGGATCGGATATAAGCATGGGATCTGCTAAAATGTGCTGAACATCAAAATTTTTCCAATACCATGTCTTTTTGCGGCTTGGATCTCGTGAAACCTGTGAAGCCTACGCTCCATCTGCATAACTTCTCGCTGTAGTCTATGTAATACGCTTGCATCATTGGCTTGTGGTCCTATAACAAGATCCGCCGACCTTGTTCTCGGGACGCGGAGGCCATGCCAGCGACAAATACCTCTAATTCCATTCTTCGCTCACGAACAGGCTCCCATATGGGTTCATGGTCCATAACGAATAGCCAGACGGTAGATGATTGTTGACGGTATTTTTAAAAATGTGACCAGCTAGTCCCAGAGAGTTGTTGGTGTTAAGTGGAGCGTTCTGAACTCGCGTTTGGTACCATATAAAATCCTCCCGTCTGGTGTTTCGTACTTGCTGATGGCATTTGTTGGACCAACGATACTTTCCGTCTTTTTTGCCGAACATTTGATGGTGAGCTTGTATGAGATCCTTCGTTTGTGGATTGCATGACTATGCTGATACCTACTGCTTTTTGGTTGGATGAAGAAAGGATCTACTGATAAAGAAATAGGTGGGAGAAAAAAAGAGGTAGAAATTTTTAACGAGCACCTGTTTCAGACCATGCATAGTAAATGGTTTCTTCTGGCAACTTGACCAACTGCTTGCTGTGTCATTTCATGCTGTTCTCCACGGATAGTACTCCTGGGTGAGTAGATGAAGGCATGGCAACCACCTATTAACGAGAGAATAGACTCAACGTTTGGTCAAATGTATAGTGTGTGGATGAAATAATGGTTCAATTCGATTGATCATGACCTGTACTCCAACAACAATTGGGTCGTGAATACCCAGTTATACGTCAGTCACCTTACTTTTCAAGTGTAACAAGAAGTTACAACCAGCATATGTACGTTACAAGAAATTAATAAGCTGTTACCGCTTATTGATGTGCTTGTACAGGCACCTTGTCATTTGCTTGTATGTTAAAACTTAGACAATTTGTTTACAATTGTATTAATGATAAGTATTACAGATAGTATTACAGACTTCAATAGGTAGTACTCCTTCAGTACAGAAATGAACTTACAATTGGCGGCTCGGCTTGGTTCCACATGACCACATAATAAGTAACAGTTTCGCAGAAGAACATGATACTTCGTTGGGACAAGTAATTTGAAAGTAGGGTAACTAATATTTAAAATGCAACAAATTTTGATTACGCCATGTACCATTTTGAGTTACAACTAGTTATATATATGTTACAATTCATTACAACTAATGAATTTGCAATCGGCAGTTTTTCGTCTTATCTAGTTAAAACTAGTGATATTACAACTAGAAATTTCCTGATATTACAACTAGTGATACTACAACTAGTTAATATCTGATGAACCTTTTCTTCTCTTGTTTGTGCAATTGCACTTGGCACAAACAACAAGTCCTCCCCCAACACATAAAATTTCTTAGACACTTTAGTAAGTGTCTAATGAGAACATAAAGATGGTCGATTCGAACCCCAAAACAATTGATGTAGCGAGGCCTTCTCGAACATCTCATTAAATTAGCGAGATCTTCTCGAACATCATACAACCTACTGGCTGCTATTTGGCACCCAAGAACTTGATTTCTGTGTGAACCCTCTATTGATGACACTGCAATTGAAGTTAGAGGCGGGTTGAAGAATACTAATAATAAATTTCAGGCACGGGTTCATTGCCACCCTTCAGTAGAATGATATGGGAAGTGTGAAGTAATTTAAAATGAAAAATGTTTGTGCAGTAATGAAAGGTGGACGAAAAATTTTTGTTGTTGAGGGATATACTACTCTGCACGCCCTTTTATAGTCCGCCGGATCCGAACAATGTGCTAAAATATCACTGGACAATGCATTCCAGGCAAACAATTTTGTCATGCAGTGGAAGCTGTAGAGTTCGATGCATGCCATTGAACTGTGTCAATCTGTTCAGACAATAAAACAAATTATGCAGCTTTTGTCATGAAATGACCTGTACACCAATATTAAGGGTCACGTGGATAAAGAGTTACACATCAGTGGCCTGTACGTTTCACTATGTACGGATTGCATTACAACCAGTTAGGTGTATGTTACAATTCATTATAACTAATGAATTTGCAATCAGCAACTTTTCGTCTGCTCTATTTAAAACTGAATAATATTCCAACTAGATATTCCCCGATGTTACAACTAGTGATAATACAACTAGTTAATATTCGATGAAACTTTCCTTTCTTTTGTTTGTGCTATTGCCCTTGGTAGAAACGATAATTCCTCCCACTGACACATTAAATTTCTTAGACACTTTATTAAGTGTCTATTGAGAATAGTTACAATGATCGTTTCGAACCCCAAAACATTGGGTAGCGAGGCCTTCTCGAATATCTCATTAAAATAGTGAGATCGACATTTTTGCATATGAGGCCAACTAGTATATCACAGAGAGACTGTAGACTCACATGCAGTGCTTGAACCATGTCGGATAAGTTTCACACATACAAAGCGACAGATTTGTAGTACCGACAGTGAATATACATGTTACGTGCTGTTTCTAATCGTTTACAGGACAGCAATGTCGTCCCAAATGTGGAAGCATCATGATGGGTCACATGCTGCTAGTGAACTATTTCAAATCAATTCAGACAATAAAATAAATTTTGCAGCTTTTATCAGTTCTGGTCCTGTACACCAACTTTGAGAGGGGTGGAAGACTACTAATAATAAATTTTGTATTCGGGTTCATTGCCACCCTTCAGTAGTATGAAATGGGAAGTGTGAAGTGGAATATAATGAAAGTGTAAACGATAATGAAAGGGGGACGAACAAACTTTTGTTGTTGTGGGATATAAAACTACAACCGCGCCCTTTAATAGTCCGCAGGACCCTCCCAATGTCTAAAATATCAGGGGCCAACGTATTTCAGACCAACAATTTCGTCACGACAGTGGAAGCTGTAGAGTCACATGCAGCTGGTGAACTATGTCATGATTCATTTTGGACAATAAAATAAATTTGACAGCTTTTATCATGAAATGACCTGTACACCAACATTAAGGGTCATGTGGATATAGAGTTACATATCAGTGACTTGTATGTTTCACAATGTGCATACACAGTTACACTTTGTACACGTAAGTAAGAAACCCCAAAACAACAGTGTCTTGGCCAAGATTCATATGTGTAACACTCTATACCCTTGGTTCCGTAATGTAAGCTTGTTTTAATCCACAATTAGACAATTAATTAGTGCTTGTTGACTGTAACTCTAAAATTACTTCAGACATTAGGTGTCTAGTAATAGATTTACGGTATGTAGCACTAGAATTTTCAGACATTCGATATCTAGCACCAGATTTGCGGTGTATTTGGATGAACAAGATCACTAAATGCTGCCTTGTCGAAAATACCAGGAAATGCCGCATATGTACGTCACAACCTTTTAATAAACTGTTACAACTTATTGATGTGCTTGTACAGGCACCTTATCATGTTCCTGTATGTTAAAACTTAGACAATTGGTTTACAAAATGGTATTAACGATGAGTATTACAGATAAACTTTCAGGCACTTCAATAGGTATTACTCCTTTAGAACGGAAATGAAGTTACAACTAGCAGCTCGGTTTGGCTTCACACGATCACATAATAAGTAACGGTTTGGCAGATGAAGATGATACTTCGTTGGGACAACTAATTTGAAAGCGGGGTAACTAATATTTACAATGCAGCAAATTGTCATTACGACATGTACATATTGAGTTACAACCGGTTAGGTGTATCTTACAATTCATTACAACTACTGAATTTGCAATCGGTAGCTTTTCGTCTTCTGTAGTTAAAACTAGTGATATTACAACTATAAATTCCTAGATGTTACAACTAGTTAATATCCGATGAACCTTTCCTCTTCTCTTGTCTGTG